TGAGATCCCGTGATATGCCCAGGATACTGTAATTATCCCCCCTCTAGCAGAAGAGGGCGTCCTCAACCTCAATCTACCTCAGGGTCCCTGTGTACACATGTGCTGGCAGCACCCACAGGCCTGTGTGATGGTTATCCTAAGATAACCATCGATTGCAAGACCGCTTCAAATAAGAATAGGGCCCAGGTCCGAACAGAGATACCCGTCCCAAGACCAATTGTCAGATCACGACTTCAAAAGAGTACCAAGCGGTGGATGCAGTTGTGGTAATATGGCAAGGACACTAGATATGGCCAGGGAGATCAGGTGCAGTTATGCAGTGCATCCATGCATGAAACACTACTAAATAGATGCAAGCAAGCAGCGATGAATAGCTGAGGATGAGTTTCGTTGGTGGCCATGTTATCTGTAAACATGGATATGCATGTGGGCAAGTGTTATCTTTAGTTCATTGATGCCAACATTGATGCCAATATCGTGACGATATCGTCACTCAGTCATTTGTGTGCGAGGTTAGAGGAAGGACAACTTAATATTGCATGTACGAGGTGTCTACATACTTGGGTTGATTGTGACCACAGGGCCTGCACGTATCACTCTGGGAAAAGGGGGGTCATTTTACCCGTAATTTTGGGTCAATCCACCCGTAATTTGACAGAAATTACGGGTCCGTAACACGTTACGGGTCCCGTAATTTGAGCACAAGGATACAGGTGAACATTTACGGGTGAAGACCCAGTGATTACGGGTGGATTTTACGCGGTGCTGGAGGTTAATTACGGGCGCATGTAACCAATTACACGCAAAATTACGGGTGAAGACCCAGTGATTACGGGTGGATTTTACGCGGTGCTGGAGGTGAATTACGGGCGCATGTAACCAATTACACGCAAAATTACGGGTGAAGACCCAGTGATTACGGGTGGATTTTACGCGGTGCTGGAGGTGAATTACGGGCGCATGTAACCAATTACACGCAAAATTACGGGTGAAGACCCAGTGATTACGGGTGGATTTTACGCGGTGCTGGAGGTGAATTACGGGCGCATGTAACCAATTACACGCAAACTTACGGGTGAAGACCCAGTGATTACGGGTGGATTTTACGCGGTGCTGGAGGTGAATTACGGGCGCATGTAACCAATTACACGCAAACTTACGGGTGAAGACCCAGTGATTACGGGTGAATATTACGCGGTACTGCAGGTGAATTACGGGCGCATGTAACCAATTACACGCAAACTTACGGGTGAAGACCCAGTGATT